AAGTTTAATGGGACCAACGGGAAGAAGTACACGGAGGGACTCAAACCGGAATCCATTGCTTTCCTGCTGGTCTGCCTGCTTATTGTTGCAGAGAACGCTGTGGTGCTCATTGCCATCTGGAAGAACAAGAAGTTCCACATCCCCATGTACTATTTACTGGGGAACTTGACTCTCTCAGACCTGCTTGCAGGTTTGACCTACATGATAAACATCATGACATCCGGTTCCCACACCTTGAACATGACTCCCTTGCTGTATTTCCTGAGGGAGGGCTGTGTGTTTGTCATGCTAGCTGCTTCCATCATCAGCCTGCTGGCCATCGCCATAGAGCGCCACGTCACCATGGTGAGGATGAAGCCGTACCAGGGTCACAAGCAGGGTCGGATGTTTGCTCTGATTGGCGCCAGCTGGGTGCTGTCGGTGTTCCTTGGCGTCCTTCCGGTCTTGGGCTGGAACTGCATCAACCAGCTGGAGAAATGCTCCACCGTCCTGCCGCTCTACGCCAAAAGCTACATCCTCTTCTGCATCACCGTCTTCAGCGCCATCCTCATGTCCATTGTGGTGCTGTACGTGCGGATCTTCCGCATAGTGAAGTCCAACACTCAGCGCCACGCCACGGTTCCCCAGCGCAAGGGTCTCTACCGCAAGTCGCAGAAGTACATAGCCCTCCTGAAAACCGTCACCATAGTCCTGGGGGTGTTCATTGCGTGCTGGTCGCCCCTGTTCATCCTGTTCCTGCTGGACTTCAGCTGTGAGGTCAAAAGCTGCAAGGTGCTCTTCAAGGCGGACTACTTCCTGGGCATCGCTGTGTTCAACTCCCTCCTCAACCCCATCATCTACACACTGACCAGCAAGGACATGCGGAAGGCCATCCTGAAACTGCTCTGCCACCGTTGCCTCCTGAACGCAGACGGGAAGATGAAGAAATTCGGCTTGGCCTTCCTGGACTTCAGCACCACTAAGACGGACGCGGCGTCTCACAGACTGGAGGGTCTGGAGACGACGGTGTCTTCTGGGAACCTTCCCTCAACTATTAAAGCTATTTATCCAAGGATATCCAAGATATAACACTCTGACTCAGAACTGAGAGCTGGCACATGAACTGAAATGTGCTTCTATCTGTGCTAAAGACTCGTATTTAAGCAAACATTGGAAGGAGAAAAACTGTGTTGCACTTTGAAATGGTTCTACTTTTAAATGATCCATGTTTGTAAAGCTGGGAGAAAGAACCGTTTTGTTGGACTTATATTTATACCACTTCTCTATAGATACCCGTGCCTTCGTCGTAGCTCAAAGCTTGTTTTTTAGAACCCAGCATTACCATTGTCAAGACTTTTAAATAAGGCCAGTGGTGATCAGAGAGAGTTCGTTCTGAAAGATAACCCAAATGGTCTGATAAGTTCTTGCAAAAAAAAAAAAAAAAAAAAAAAAAAAACACAAAGAAGGCAGCCAAGCCAGTGTGTTGACGCTTCACAGCATCTGTAATGTGCATCTGATGAGGGGGAAAAACCCAAGCTCAAGATTTAGGGCTAGGATTATCTCCCACTGCCTTTGTAGCGTATAATGACACGTTGTCGTGATCACGGAGCATCCACACCCAAAAAGTGGCGGCTGCCAAAACCGTTTAATCTCTGCCATGTGAGTTTTGGTCAGTGCCGAGGCCAGGGACATCAGAGGCCCCGGAGACGCTCTGAAGACGTCAGACTGAGGGGCCGGGCCGGGTGGCTTTTCTGCTTTGGAGGTCCCACCAACACATGTAGCAACACACGACCAGTGCCTTAAAGCAATAAAAGCTGACAGCCGAGGCTTGGCGACGACTTTTTGGCTCTTGCAGACTGGAACGTGGCAGCAGAACGTTTTGTCTTTACAGACAAGTCGTTTCTTTCCGGAGGAGGCTCGTCTTTATTCTGTGAAATGATGCGTAAGGATGACTGTTTTCTTTCTCTTAGTGAAACTTGATCTCAGACGTCCGTACCCCGACGTGATGGGATTAATTGTGAAAGAAATGCAAAGATGTAATTCTAATTACTTGTAGTTAGTTTATTTTGTAAATGTGTGTAACCTCTGTGAGTTGTGTGTTCTTTTATAAAAGCCCTACTTAAATTATGCCAGTTTTATATGTGCACTGAATAAACATATGTGAATAATTTTTACATGCAGGTCTCCGTTGATTTTTTTTTTGTTTGTTTTATCATCTTGCACAAGTTTTTCCTCTTCAGGATAAACACACAATGCAACATCTTTGAATATTTTCTAAAGGAAGGATGATAAATTGCAATTCTATTTATTCATAGTAGGCTTAACAATATCAAACTTAATGCAAAAATGTGAATTCAGTGTAATTACTGTTTCATTACATTTCTATTTATTCTAACAGAACATTCTTATTTATTAGTATGTTGAGTATTATTGAATATTATGGCCAACCCTGAACATCCTCTACTTGAGACCGTTATGCAACAACAGTGTCTTTGGGCAGAGGCTTTTTTCTGTTCGCTATAACACTGACTGCTACGGGAGACCCTTCCTGCCCACAGGCGTCAAACTCCACAAGTGTTTAAAGAACATTGTGTAATATGAGTTACAACATTTAATTTATGATTAAAGTATTTTTGAATTTTAAATGTAATTATTATTTATCTCATTGCCAGAAGTAGTAGTAATATTCATTTGATCAATTTTTTTTAAATGTATTAAGTATTATGTAATAATCAGCTTCTACATACAATTTACAAAACACACAATTCAAAAATATATGGACAAATAGAGTCAATTTAGACTAGTCGACAAGAATAATAACTATTAAAACTATTGTGGACTGAGGACTTAAGGGGTGCCCTGCTTTTCTCCCAGTGACCACTGTTGGCAATTTGAGCTTTTTAAAGAACACACTTAAGATAAAAACGGAAATAAACAGCAGCTTTATTGCAATATTTCAAGCTTCTGTGTTCATTAAAATCGAAACCTACTCCGCCGTGAGCAGAATGATCAAAGAGAAGCTGAAGCCATTTCAAGCGGGGGGCCAAGCTGAAGTGACAAACCACGTGTTAAAGCCACTAACAGGCACAGCTACCAGTGAAGTAGCAGAATTGGGCCCAATGCTCAGTTTACGGTAAGAAAACCACACACTGGTAGGTGTGACGGTGTGCCTACCCGATTCGGGCTCCACATCCTGCTCTCTCTGAAACTATCGTCATGGTGTCGAATACAGAAAAAGAAAAAAAAAAAAAAAGCCACGACTCGTTTTCATGTAAGGGGAAAGATTCGGTTCTCGTCGAGTGGGTCTGAGTGTGAAGAATGCAAGCCACAGTACCATGTGTGGGAGGCAGCAGGGAGAATAGTCTGAGTGTGAGCGTCCTGCTTCAATTTACAAACCTGCAACCGCTGGATCATTGCTATCATATCTTAATATCTACACAGTTAGACTACAATAGGAAATATCTGGTTTCCTTTCTAATGGTTACATTCAGGGTTCATGACATACATTTCAAACATTCCAGAGAAATGAACATTTAAGCGCCTGGAAGCAAATAACGGCTATGGTGAGCAAACGTAAAGCGAAAAGGAAAAAGGAATAGATTTGTGTAGAAAAACTAAGCGTGGTTCACAGTTCAACGACTTAAAAAACACGCTTTCAGAGGCAAGACATCTCTCCAGAGATCGACAGCATTTCAGTCACTCTTTCCTGACCATTCTGCTTAGTTTACGTGCTGCTGCCCAGTCGCGACCACGCTTCAACCCCTTAGAACTATTTTTGTTTGTGCAGACTTCCTCGTTACTAAGTGAGCCCACATCACTCCACCACCACCGTGCTCAACGACTGCAAAGTGCTGACACAATGTCTGTCTTTCTGCACCCTCTGCGCTGTAAATGACTGTCCAAACGTTCCTCTGGTGTGTCAGAATGCTGTGGCTTATTAAGATCTTTACAAGTCAAATATCTTATCCTGTTTTAAAGAGAAGAGGCCTTTATCCTGGAAGCCCTTTCAAATACACCAGTCTTCTTCAAATGGTGCAGTATGTTACTTTTATAAAGAACATGTTTTTTTCATACATATTTGTTAAAAATGTCACTATGTGGCAACAGTATAGTATGAGACAGATAATGTGTGGAAAAAAAGAAAAAAAAAGAGTTCCTCTGCCTTCTCTCAATGCTAACCAGAAACAACCAATCAGAGCCAGGAGGAGGGTCTTAGCGCTGTCAATCACTCTCCTGAACACAGTAAATCTACGCTGCTGAGCTACTGATGACGGTGGATAAACGGGTTTCCTGTAACTGTAAGTTGTTTCTCCGCCATTAGCATATTTAGCACCACTTACACAAGGTTGACTGACAGCACAAAGACACTCCTCCTGGCTCTGATTGGTTGTTTCTCATCAGGAATGATGCATTTTCTGCAGATGGCAACAGGAGAAAGTCGAGGAGATCATTTTTTTTCACAGATTATCTGTCTAATATTACACTGTTATAACATGGTGACAGTTTTAACAAATATGTCAAAAACATTTTTTTTTTAATAGAAGTTACATACTCAGCTGTAGCCATGCTAGCTGAGGTGTCTTTTAACCCTTCCCAGATTTATTGACAAAAACTTAACATGTTAACAAATGAGATTTAAAGATAGAGAGATGGTTTTATAGTAGCTCACAAATGCTCAGTTAGACTGAATATAAATGTTTTTTGATCCGTTAGAAGGAGATTGGAAGCAGATTTCAGCAAGAAAATTTAAAAAAGCATAGACCAGAAATATTGTTTGATTTTAATTTCTGTCGTGTAGTTTGATCAGACCACTGCTCAAGTTTCTTAATATTTTTGTGGATTTAAAAAAGAAAAAAAAAAGAAATAATTGAATGTTTCTTTTAAATCTGCTCTAAATAACACCTTCTGGCTTTGTTTAAACATTAAGCAGCTCTATAGCGACATCTAGTGACCAACTCCCACACAGCAGGCACAGCTTTAGCTCCTGATGCTCTAACAAATCACAAAGAACAAAATTAAAGTTGGGAGATATTTATTTTACACAACAGTTTGACATGAAGAAAAACAACAAGAAGACCAACAGACAGATATAATAAAAAAAAATAATACTAATATACACAACAAATGTTCTTCATCTACCACTCGGTGCTGACAAAGTCCCACAGCTGATCGCTGATATCGCTTCGAGAGCGGACAGACGTGTCAACGTTGATGGGCGTGGCCAGATCTGGACCATAGTGCACTGCAAGAGGAAAAGACTAAATTAAACTCATTTTAAAGTTTATTTGTTCCGTCAACATGTTAAGCTTGTTATAACACAGTCATACATTTCTGATTATTAGGTCAATTATTTCATAACTCCAGCAATTATAGTGAGAAGCTTGTGGAAGGAATCCTAAAATGTTTGACTCAAGTTAAAGGAAATGCAACCAAAATAAGAAAATTTGAAGACATTAGTAAATAAATACCTGACAGATTCTCTCACCATAGTGGTATTTAGCAAATGGAAGTTTTCAACTATAAACACTATTTATCTGTCAGTGAAAATTACACTCTGTGAAAAGTGTTTATCTCATCTGTGGGGGGGTTCAGGCCCACGCTAAAATTATTCCCAGGGCCCCAAATGTCCCATGGGCCACACTTTGGACACCACTGACACGATCACTCTGAGTTCACACTTTATCATTAGGGTTGCTTACTTTCTTTATTTTTGTTTTTTTGACCAAAATATATGAAATAAAATTAGCAACCATATCTGACTGAAGAAGGAATGCAAGTCAGTAAATAATCACGTTCCTTACCTCCTTTCAAAATGTTGGGCTGCGTGTCGTATTCCCACTTGATCTTGGTTATTAGGTAGTACACCTGAGCCACATACCTGGAAATGAAAAACTTAGGGTAAAAATAAAAAAACTAAACTAAACAAAAAAAAAGAAGAAAAAAAAGAAAGAATGCAAGACAACAAATTTTTCTGGACGACGAATCGTCCCAGAAATTATTGCGATAAACGATAATATTGTCGTTTTGAGACCATTTTCAACTGATATAGCAAAAATGGCATAATAATGCAAGTTTGCCTTCTTAAAGACTAATAAACTTTAAATTTGTACAGAACAATACACATTGTAACTTGAAGACATTTTAAACAACAAATAAAATGCATTGCGACGTCTCTGTGAACAAAATTACTCTTAAAAAAATGAATCATCACAACGGAATTTAAACGGCTCATTTTAATGTGTCATGTGATTCATTGAAGAACTGACATAAAAACATTGAATTTTAAAAGACAAGTGATAAAACACCAGTAGAACCTGAAGTTGACCGAAACATGGCCAATATTGTCTTCATAAATTCATATTAGAGAGCAACACAGAAATGTGTAAGTCAAGAAAAAGGTGAGAACTTGTGAGAACTAATTCCCAGAAACTCACACTGCAGACGGGATGACCTCGGTGGTGTCTTCGTCCACCTCATTCTGTAGAGTCTCCAGCTCCCTCTCAGTGTTTCTCACACTCTCCAGCTCCGTCTGCAGGAACCTGGAGAGAGAGACGGTCAGGGATGCAAACGGGGGAACGGTCCAAACCAGCGGCGCAGAGAACGGCATGGACACGGAAAGCGTACTGGATTTCTGAGTCGGTGATCTGGCTTTTGGCCGTGCACCGTTGCAGCTGCTCCTCCAAGTCCTCCAGCTCCTTCTGCCTATGCTGCTTCTGCTCCTCCATGTCCAGCAGCCTCTGACCCGCGCGCTCCTCGATCTGTGCCATGTCTGCTTGTGAAGGACAGCGGCAGACGCTCGAAATGACAACACTCACCACCTGAAGCTAAATTAAATCTAGAAGTAGAGAAAAGAAAAAACAAACAAACATCTGATTTCTTGCCTTTAAGAATCTGTTTCACAGTCTTCTTTGTTTCTAGGTGCTTGTCAATGAGGGCCTGGCGCTCGACTTTCACTTCTCTCAGCTTCTCGGGCTGACTGCTGTTGATGAAGGCCACCAGCATCTCCCCGTTCTCCTCCACGTCTTGAAACTTGTGGCTCAGAGACATCGTGTGCAGCTGGAAAACAGAAAAAAGGAGAAGAACGGAATAAGTACCTCCTCGTTCGCAGTAAATGACAAACACACCTTCATGCACTGCATTTGCAGTGAACTGCAAATGGAATAATAAATACCTTGTGTTTATATTTACTAAGAAGTCTAAAAAGACTAAAGTGGAAAAGAAGTACAATATTTTACATAAGTTTATTTAGTGTTACTCAAATCTATGACACAGTTAAGATAATTATTCTGTTTTAAATAACCACAAATAGCTCATATTAGACATATTTAGGTTTTCAAATGGTGGGCCACTAAACACACATTCTCGTGGGTCGCCTGAACTAGATATTATTTATGTAGAAGCGGTGTTAGAAATGTTTATAACATGTCGCCTGCCTGCATGAGAAACTGTTAATAAAACAAACTAAACTTCAGAAATATGTTAAACATATCAAACAAGCAACGAAAATCTTTGTGCCTTTATTTTAGGCGAATCTGGAATGTTTTAAACTGATAAACAGTAGCAGCAAAGGTATCAGCAATATTTCTCTCTTTCCTATAAGCAAAAGGAAAGGATTAAGTCTGTCCGCAACATCACAAACAACTGAGTCTGAATACAGATTTAGTCACAGGAGCGGAACAAATGAACACGCCACAAAAATATGAACTTCTTCGACGACCGACATTAAAAACGTTAGTCACTGACAGATAACGTAGTTGGAAAATCCCCGACACTATAGCAGCTAGCTAAAGTTGTCAAATTACGGCGTTTTCAGTTAGTTTTATAACTTTTGAGCAAATGTTCTGCTACCTAAACATCTAAATGCATGAGACGCGGACAACAAACAGCTTTCCTGCTTTGTTTACGTCGTTTATACACGTTGCGTTGAACGCAACTTTAGCGACACAAAGATGACCATTTCGAATATAAACCATTTAAACTCTACTGTAAATAAAGCGGTTTGTAATTTGGTCACATTAAACAGAAAACAACCTACCTTCTCTGTTTTCCACAGTTCAAATTCAGACTTCAGCCCGCGCCTGTTATTTTCTTCTTCTTTGGGCGTTTGGGGGACGTGACGCGGTCTACCGCCCCCTGCCGCCCAGTGGTGAGTCCAACTGCAGAGCTGAGCGCTTGGAACACCTTGATTTTTTGGAAAATGGGCTCTTTGCACCTCAGCTTCCGCGTTCGGGGTAAAGCGGCTCGATTGTTTCCGATCCAATACAAAT